AAAAAAAACCAAGGAAAACATGTGTCAAAACCAAAAATAATTTGGTTTTTTTAGAAAAGGTCATAAGTGGGGGATGAAGGGTGCATGGCAAGGATCCCTTGGCACAAGGAGTCCGGCAAGCCGCCCAAGAAGCTGTTCGCGACAAAGTCGAGAGACTCGAATGATGAAAAATCCCTCGCTCTGCTCTGCTCATGATTCAGCTCTGATATGATTCTGCTATAGATCAGATAAAACAAAGACCTTATTCTGCTCTGCTCTGCTTCTGCTCTGCTCTGCGCTGCTCTAACTCTGCGCTGCGCTGCTCTGCTCTGCTCAGCCCTGCTCTGCTCTGCTCTGCTCTGCTCTGCTCTGCTCTGCTCTGCTCTGCTCTGCCCTGCTCTGCTCTGCTCTGCTCTGCTCTGCTCTGCTCTGCTCTGCTCTGCTCTGCTCTGCTCTGCTCTGCTCTGCCCTGCCCTGCCCTGCCCTGCCCTGCTCTGCTCTCTTCGCTCCTCTCTTCGCTCCTCCCTCTGCTTTTCTTTGCTCTGCTCTGCTCTGCTCCCTGTCCTCTCCTCTCCTCTTCTCACCCCCACCCCCGCCCTTCCCAAAAGCTCACACACACATGCTGCATCCCTCCGTCGCTCCTCCCCTCTCGCGTCGCTTCTCTCTCCATTCTGCTCCAGATAGATCATGCTCATGACCTCACCATACTCTCTCTCTCTGTCGACGAACATGTCGAATCAGATTCTAGGCCATGTAGACAATGACGAAGTGAAGACAATAACTTCTTACGTGCAAGTTTGCCAACAACTTCACATTGGAGCTCTAGGAGTACGAGTGAACGTCACATTGCAGATGAAACCACATCGAAGTCAAGGATGATGCGAGAAGAAACAGTTCCTCCTTCCAGACTTCACCGAGCTTGAAGCGAGACAAGTACAACATGACTTTCTTGTCTGAGCTCATTGCCGGTGGAATAGCGGGTGCTGCTGGAATTATATTCACGCAGGCACGTAGCTGCTGCTGCTACTCCTTCTCCCACTGCTGATGAATCTCCTGCTCCTGCTCCTGCTCCTGCTCCTGCTCCTGCTCCTGCTCCTGCTCCTGCTCCTGCTCCTGCTCCTGCTCTAGTTGCTGCTACTGCTGGTGTTGATCTCTTGGTTGTTTACCTCTCCTCCTCCTCCCTCCTCTTCCCTCCTCCTCCTCCTCCTCCTCCTCCTCCTCCTCGTTCACTTCCTTATTGTCTACAACAGCCGATCGACACCATTCGTATTCGTCTTCAGAACGGCGGCCAGTACGCCGAAACCTCGCAGGCAGCCAAGGTCCCACTAGGCATCTGGACATGTACGACCTCAACACTGAGAGGAGAAGGTGGGAGCAGTGAGATGTGTGACGGGGATGATTGAGCTGCTGTGCTTCAGGTGTCAGAGGTTTCTTCAAGGGAGTTGCCTCGCCGACGCTGACTGTACCTAGGGGAGGGAACAAGTTGACTGGAGATGATGTGGATGGGCAGGTTGGAGCGATGAATGCTGTTCTCTTCCTCTCGTATGAGACCACCTGTAAGTGGATGAGAAGCAGGTGCGGCAGGAGGAGTACGAGGAGGAGAAGGAGAAGCAGCAGCAGCAGCAGCAACAGCAGCATGAGCAGCAGCAGGCAGCAGTAGCAGTAGCAGTAGCAGGAGCAGGAGCAGGAGCTGATGCATCTTCTGTCCGGCAGGCATGGGGCTGAAGAGCTGAGTCTCAAAGAGATTTTTGCTGCTGGGGTTGCAGCTGGGGTTGGCTCTGCTTTCATAACTGGACCGACAGAGCTGGTAGGAGGCGGCGACGAGTGGAGGAGGAGGAGGAGGAGAAGAAGAAGAAGAAGAAAGGGGAAGGGGAAGGGGAAGGGCGAGGGGTAGTGGGAGGGAAAATAGCAAGAACAGGAGGAGGAGGAGCGACGGGTGACCCGTGGACACGAAAGGTGAAGTGCATCGCACAGCTGGACGTGAAGAGCAAGGGGCATGTAGTAGAGGAGCTGCGAATCATTAAGAGGATGGTGAGGGAGCATGGAGTCTTGGGCAAGCATGGTCCCACTCGGTGAGGACCATGGAGGGAGTTGGACCAGCCAGTGACTGTTGGCTGCTTTACAGCGGCCTGCTCATGACCATGGTGCGGGATGCGCCGTCCTTTGGCCTCTACTTTGTCATCTACGAGGATATCTGCCGCAGGTGACTCGTCCTGCCATGCTGCTGCCGCCGCCGCCGCCGCTGCTCGCTCGCTCGCTGACGCCA